AAAAAATGATTATGTCGCCAAGGTAGATCAACAAAGTACTGAAGTTTTGGTCACCAAAACATGTCATCATAAGGCGCTCAAATGTAGCAGGAGCATTTTGGAGGCCAAAGGGCATTCTATTCGCCTCAAACAAACCCATCGGTGTAGTAAATGCTGTCTTTGCTTTATAATTCTCCGCTATCTCCACCTGCCAATAGCCAGCAGTAAGGTCAAGTGTTGAAAAATATTGTGCTTGACCAAGAGATTCCAATGCATCGTCAATGCGAGGGAGTTCCATCCTTTTTTCGAACAATCACTATTGGAGAGGCATATGGACTCTTACTTGGACGGATAGTGCCAGCAGACTGCATGTCTTCCACTTCCTGATATTGAGATGGTGGTATCCGTCTAAGGGTAGACAACAACTAATGGAATCTCATGTTGGATTGTTGAGGTTTTACCATAATCAAGGGCCTGCTGTGAGAACACATCATTGTTCTTTCTCAGTAACTCCTTTAGCTGGTCCAACTCATCTCCATTACTCACTGCTGACTGACTCAAGTCAACATCAGGTAGATTGGCTTCTGTGTTATTTGAACTACGACAAGCAGCTGACTTAACATGTCTATGTGATCTATAATATTCATGACTTGAGTCACGGTGTGCATCTTTTTGTTCCACTGTACTACCCCTTTCGGTAAAATCATTCTCAGGTTCTTCTGGGATGCCTGGGAAGTCCTGAACCATACTAACTGCATGTAGATCTGCAACATGGACTCTAGGCCGGATGGTCACTGGTCGTTGATTTAGGTTATTTACTCTAACCTTAATCAAACCACTATCTTCATTAACTAACATTCGGCCAACCACTAGTCCATGGGGTAACTGACTAGCTATAGGGTTCTCTACCAGCGCAGTATATGACTTCCCCTTTGGGCCTCTTGGTACTCAATACATGAGCCTCTTGCCCTGGAGGTATTTCCATATGGCCACGTCCAACACTCCTGGCTGGCCCAATACAACCAGTCTTACCTCCAAGCTCAGTTTTCTGTAAAGTCTGATATGTCTGTACCACACCTTTGACTTCTTACGTACAACACTCTCAT